AAATATATCGGGATATGACTTTTGATCAGTGCCAGTGGATAGGAGGTGCTTTTCGGACATCTGCCAAGACTGTTTTCTCTGTTTCTTTTTCTCTTTTCAGATAAGAGAGAGCAAACACAGAGGAGGTGACCCTTATCATATCCTGAAGGAGACGAGACATAGAGCATGATCTTGTGTTTGTCTACAGTGCCAAAGAAGCGCCAGGGAGAAGCCTCCATGGCCAGAGAATCATCGCCTTCCTAGCTCCATCAAGGGGCCCTTTTACCCTGCTCCAAGCTGCACTGGGGGGCTCAAACGTTCCCCTGACTCCACCAGGAGGCTCACTCCAACCCATCTGCCAGCTCAGATAACCCTCTGACTGTTGGCAACCACATGTTTGAGGTGACTGTATGTGACCGCCGCCGCCCATTCTCGAGCAGCAGCAGCAGCCTCCTGCGACCCCGATCTGCATCATGCAGTGGAGACGGCGGCACTGCTGTCCCATCAAGATGACCTGGACCGTCAAGCGTTCGCTCTTCCGGACCCATGTGGCCGGCCTCCTCTCTCTGGCTCTGCTCTTCACCCTCTTCTTATTTTTCAGCCACCAGGACTGGCTACCGGGACGTAGTGGACCGCGGGAAAACCCACTGGCCTACACCGTCAGGGGTTTCCGCAGCCCCAAGGGAGAAGCCAACCAGAGCAACTCCCTGAGGAGCCTGTGGAGGGAGACGGGGTATGTAGTGCCAAAGCCTTTGCTCAACCTCAGCTCTCAGCAGGCGGATGGGGCACCAGGTGAGGCAGCAGCAGGAGTAGGAGGCGGCGGAGGAGGAGCCAGGATGGGAGTAATGGGGCTTGGGGACTCCATGAGCACTAACAACAGTTTACAGAAGGAAATGGGTGTGGGAGGGAGGCTCAGTGCTCAGCCCTACCGCTACCTCCTGAACGAGCCCTTCAAGTGCAGGGACAGCACTCCCTTCCTCATCCTCCTCATTGCTGCAGAACCTGGCCAGGCTGAGGCCCGGAACGCCATCCGCCAGACATGGGGGAACGAGAGCATAGCAGTGGGTCTGGTGTTTGTCCGTCTTTTCCTACTTGGCACAGGAAAGAGCTCAGACACCTTCCTCCAGAGCAGCATAGAGGAAGAGAGCCGCGTTTACCACGATATCATCCAACAAGACTATCAAGACACTTACTACAACCTGACTATCAAAACCCTGATGGGCATGAACTGGGTGGCCACCTATTGCCCACATGCCTCCTATGTAATGAAGACAGACAGCGACATGTTTGTCAATACCGAGTATCTCATCCAGAAGCTGCTGAAGCCCGAGCTGCCTCCCAAGCAGAGGTATTTCACTGGCTACCTGATGAGAGGCTATGCACCAAACCGCAACAAGGATAGCAAGTGGTACATGCCACCGGAACTGTACCCAAGCGAGCGCTACCCGATATTCTGTTCGGGAACAGGGTATGTGTTCTCAGGGGACATGGCCGAGCTGATCTACCAGGCCTCTCTCAGCATACGCAGGCTCCACCTGGAGGACGTCTATGTGGGGATCTGCCTGGCGAAGCTGCGCATCGACCCAGCGCCCCCTCCCAACGAGTTCCTTTTCAACCACTGGCGGGTGTCTTACTCCAGTTGTAAGTACAGCCACCTGATCACATCCCATCAGTTCCACCCCAATGAACTCATCAAGTACTGGAACCACTTGCAGACCAACAAGCACAATGCCTGTATCAACATGGCCAAGGAAAAGAACGGCAGGTACAGACACCGAAAGTTTCACGGAGAGAGGCCTCCTTGATGCATCCTGTGACGACCACCCGCCTCAAAAAAGGGAGACGGGTGCACTGTAACTACAGCCGATGGAGGGCATGTTGAACTCAGCACTATACACTATATGGGGAAAAAGCACATTGTTTTTGGTATTGTGTACAGTTGATGATCCAAACTATTTTTTTAATTTGAGAAAAAATGTTAAGTATTGTAAACCTGTTGAGCTATTTCTGAAATGAAACTTGGGGGACGTGTTAAATGGAGCATACACAAAAAGTGCTGCTGCTCAAGTTTGTGATAATTCAGGTGCCAACAGAAAGGTGGTAATTCATGCTACAGTTAATGTGAGGGCTCTCCCTAAAAGGTAGTACAGTATCACACTTTACAAATCTAAAAAAATAAAAAACAAATGAGACACAATTGTGTTTACACAGAGAAAGGGAAATGCACATGTATCATTGTTGAAAGTTACACTACCTAAATATGAATGAAAGTATCTTTGACGTTGACCAGTTATGCTGCCCTGTTTCTCAGTGTTTACTTTACAGATTTATCAAAGAGTATGAGTCTAAAGAGAAGGTTTATCTGTCATATACTGTATTTTATTTAAAAAAAAAACATGAAACCACTCAGAATCACATCAGAGATGACTGAGATTGTATTTTTTAAAGCTTTACATTGAGTATGACTCTGCACTTGAGCAAATGTGCAATGAATCAATTAACAATTAAATGTACTGAATTAATTTTGTTTGCAGTTGTCTGTGTTATTTATCTGCTACCGATTTGTAAATTCAAGCACCTTTTATTACATTTGTACTGTAGTACATACATGCTATGGCCGCTAAATAAAGGGCTGGGAAATAAATTTCATCAATTAATTTTAGCCAAGTCTTAATAATAAACTTGATGCCAATAGAGGCCAATTCAAGTTGCATTAAACATAAGTCAAAAAACATCAAATATGCTACTTTTAGCTATATCTTCATTTCAACCTATACCTCCTAGCCTCAGGCTGATTTGGAAACCTGGAGCTTGTTGCAGCCGCTACACTCTAAATATGCTAAACTTATTTTAGTTATAACATTTACTAACATTTGTGGAGATTACTAATTCAAAATGGGTTGCACCACACAAACTAGCTGTTGTTACATTTATCCGGTGACTGCCATGTGTAACTGTTGTAAAGCTACTTAGCTAGCTGTTCAACTAGCAAAGCTATCACCTTGATAATATTAAGTGTACCCATTTTGGTTAAAGAGTAAAAGGTTTTTTAAAAAAATGGTTGACATATATGACCTATGACGTGATCAAAATGCTGTTTAATAACCATATAAATTGGGAAGATTTACAATTACATTTCACAAAAATAATAATACTATACCATATATCAAAAAACATTATACTGGCTTTTGCATAATTCGCATAATTTCATATTCCCTATTGGAATCTAAATTCTAACATTCAAATAGATATTTACATATATATACACATATTTATTCCTATCCATCTAATCACATATTTAAAAAAAGTCACATATTGAATTTGCATATTCTTTGTGTTACTATCATTCGGCCCCTAAAATTTGTTTGGCAGTTAGCTTGTGTTGTTACAAGGACTTTCCCTGTACTAATTGCTTTTGATTTGATGTTTCCTAGCAACCAATTTACGCATTACTTAAGTCAATAGCTAAAACATTTCTTAAGTTTTAATGATGCTACATAATTACGTGAATCACTGCACACAAACTGATGACTAAATGTAGTGCAACACAGTCCAACATGCCATTAGTCTCTCCTCATCACATTTTTTCTTCATTACTTCCCCTTGTATGACTATTGTTTGCATTGTTACTGAACAATCATGCCATCTGAAAACATAATTCTGAACGAACCAGGCAAATGTGTATTTTCTACAAACACACTCACCGTACCAATAAAAGGTAATATTGTATTCAGTGGACCTTGGAGAAATGCATTAACTTCCAAATAGAAAAGTAAAACATTCAGAGAAGTTCAGGTCAGGTAGAAACAATGTGAAGACAACCAATCTCAAGGCTGAATGATGAAAAATTTATTAAACGCTGAACTCTGTGATGTCCCCAGGGAATATAAAATATTCTGCAGCAAAACACCTAAGTTTAGATTTTAATTAAAAATGAATGCATATGATTTTAGCTGCCAGTGTGGAACTGAACTTTCATCCTGCGTGTGTGTGTGTGTGCTGGGATGGAGGGAGGCAAAAAAATAAATACACACTCCAGTGCTCAGGGCCACCAACAAAAAGTGCATATATAATTGGGTGATGGCTTTAAATAGCCTATATCAGATCAAGACTAATAAACTAATGCAGAGCAGGGCTCATGCACTTTTTCCACAGACTCATCTACACATCTGTCAGTCTAGTTTTAATCACCCATACGATTGAGTGATTCTGTTTAGGTAGCTGTAAAATAGGTATAGTTCACACATTGGTATATTTTAAGCCGCTAATCACTAAGCAGAAGCATCTTAAGGAGGGAAGAAGCTGAAAGGTAAAGACAGGGGAGGGGGATCATATCAAGATGTTCATCTCAGATAAACTGCACAGTGCAAAGAATAAGATCTGATGCTGGAGCCACAGGCAAAGAAACAACAGCTTTATTTGTTACTGTGTACACAGTCGTGTTGGAGTTTATGCCATCACATCAACCTCAGTTCAACAGTTACTAACAGTTTAGGAAGATTTGTAGGGAGACATCACATTATTATCTTGAAACAGAGAATCAAGATGCAAACTGTCAGCTGTATCTGTTGTGTGCGGTAGGCAAATATCCATCAGGACTCATTGGCAGTGACACGATCTTCAGCATCTCTTGGGTCTCGTGGCAAGAAGCACACTATTGTACTAAAATGTAGATTGCTCACAGGTGTACCTTAAGTATGTACCTTACGGTCTACTTTGAGATTATGACAGTATAATGTACAATTATGACAGTATATTGTGCAAGTTTGTACCAATTTAGCAGGACTTAAAGGCCTAAGTTTAAGTGTCTTGATGGCTTAGCAATACGGGAAGTGGTATGATGAAACCGGCAGAAACAAGAGGTGCTCTCTGTTTACAAAAATCTGGGACAAAGGTACGCTTATGACATTGTTGTGGTTCCACACTTTTTAACACTGTAGCACCTAACTTGCCATTTTCTTAGCTGATCTACTGTAAATGCCTTAGTTACCTGGAGTCAGGTTTGATATTAGCTAGCTTCAGAATTCAGTTGGCTCCTCTTGATTTGGCAGTATTCATGTATGGCAGCGTTTGTTTACGAGGACGTAAATAAAAGCCACACCATGTAGAATAGATTGCAGAGTCTGGTATTCTGTATTCAGAGAACGGTGGTCTACCATTCAGGAAATATTTTATGCCACACTACCTGTTTCAGGGCACAGGGCATTATTCAGCAACCTGATCATGCAACCCACACACACGCAGGGCTAAGACATGCCAATGTGGAGAGAATGGCAGAGTGATGGGTCAGGGTTATCAACATAAAAATGTCTTAACGTGGCCCATTATTTTGTCATTTTGAGACATAATGGCTTTTTGAGATGTAATGACAACTTCAATGTTACTAATAACAATACACATGGCAAGACTGTCAACAACATAATGATTGAGGGGGAAGAAAATAACATCTGAACTTAATAAAAAAAAAAACATTGAACCATGGAAATTTGACAAAATAACACTAACTCAACCAAGTAAATGGACCTTAATTTAAGAATTATTTTGTCACAATATGAAACAAATTCTCTGTTTTCTTTTATTATGGAGGGTAAAACCCATTGAGTCATCCAGAATGGGGCTCCACCACAGCTTCCCATTAAAGCTGAGAAATTTGCCTCTTCTTTGGCAACAACGGTGGTGGAGAGCTTTACCAAATTACATCTATATTAGCTGTGACTTTCCTTTACTGACATGACTGCTATTAACTGAAAGGTTCCAGTGTGTATATGAGGGTTGAGTAGTAAAATTATAAATATATTCAGCTGTCAATGCACTGACTGGTCTTTAGGTTTTACACAAAACCAAACTTTTTGGTTACCACACAGGAAAACAAGGACATCCAATTTCCTTCTCCAAGTCTCTGTCACTCTAACACGGTGCAATTCACGAAATACTCAACTGGTCCCAGGTATTCATCACCTTCCATTAGTAATGATTAAAGTCATGACTCAAAGCGAGAGGATATTGGGAACAAGGTTTGGCATCATTCATGCATGTCCTATGCAATCAGAGCGCCAGATTACCAGCATCCGGCCGCACTCAGCCCTTCAACAAATGATGAAAATGAGAACGGGTGGGGGAAGGAAAAGGGAGTAGAAAAGACGAGGGAAGGCTAAAAGAGGTGAGAGTTAAAGCCGAGGCAGAGATAGATAGACTGGTCTGCTGCCGGAGAGAGGGAGAAGCATTGTAGGAAAGCAGGGAGTGAAGGCAGGCGACTGTAAAAGAGAAAAGGATGAGGAGGAAGGAGAAAAATAGCAGGAAGGAGGTAGTGATGAATGAAGGGGAAAGGAGCAGTGACTGATGGGTATTGAAAACCTGTGCTGCTGTAAACGTGGTATAAAAGGCTAACAGTGGAAACGGATTGAGATGTCTGCCATGATGGAGTGGAGGCTGTGGCCCGGCTTTAACATCACAGCTCACTGTTCCTCAGAAACCAGGGACGAGAAAATACACTTGAGGAAGAGACAAATTTCCTGACCTTTCCATAACAGCCAGGCCTGGAACCTGACTAATACCTCTCTGTGGGCATGACTGATGAATCCTACATGAAGTTTTAGGTGAAAAATAACTGAATTTGACAAAGAAAATGATAAATGTCACCTGCTGCAGCTGAAAACCCATTATCTCATTTCCACAGCAGGGAAATAAAACATGTTAAAGCTCAGAAAATGGCTTTGTATGATAATGATTGGTGCCTTACAAAGCCAAAATGCAACTACCATAATAGGGCTGTCCCTGACTAAAGACCTTCCCTAGTAAAAGCCATTGGTCGACTGGTTGGAATGTTTACGATATTAATTGATATATTTAAATATAGATATTTCTGTAATTGCTAACAGAAAAAGCAGTAATGATTCTGAATGTGTCAGAACAACCAGCACGGAGACTGAACATTTAGTTCATTTATTTCAACATAACATTGATACAATGGATGATGTACATTAAAACTCGCTACAAACTCGCCCTTCTCTCCTTTCCCGCCTTTCTTCCTCCACCTGAGCCATAAATCAGTCAGTGTTCGGTCCGCGCTGTGGTCACCGGGAGGCTGCTGAGTCCGGCTCCGTTGCCCCGGCTCCTTTGCTAGCGGTGTAAACAAATCTCCCCGTACTTTGAGCTCGCAGCCCAGATACCGTCAGCTGATGGGACCGTTAACTAGCTAATGGTAGCAACTTGTTAACAGTTAGCACATGTTTAAATCTATTAAATTGTATATATATTGATTATGATTAAATATAAATATGAATGAATGGTAGACATACCAACAGATTTGAATAAGTAATTGGGCTTAACTAGCCCTGCAAAAGGTAACTATAACCTAGTTTAAGAGTAGGCTAACTACCACATCAGCCTCTAACTTAGATTGAAATTAATCCTGTTTTTAACACTTGCTAAACAAGCCGGTAACTAGCCTAGCTTTGCTAACTAACAACTGCCATCTCAGCCTTTGACTGATGGAATTAACATACTTTGTGCAAGCTACCTC